GGAGTTTTTGAAGAAAGCATTTCACCATGGCAAACCCAGGATTAATAGTAGTGAAGGACCCTAACCACTGTCATAAAAAAGTTTGAACGTTTCAACATAGATTACTCACAGACGTTAAACCTATAACACAGAACTGAATGCTTATTCCCCTGCCAAGAATTGAAAAATGATTAATGACCTATTTGAAAGATTACAGCATTTTTTCTAAATTTAAATAAAAATATTTACCAAAGGTGAACTTAAAGAATCAGATAAAAAAACACTGCAAATTTTTTTTTTGTTTTAGTTCTGAAGAATTCTGTTTGAGGTCAAAAATGGAGCCATCTCATTCCAGAGATTTAATGACAAAATAATAAAGACTGAAAGTTCCTATGAAAGTAAAAAATTTTTATCAATGATATCACAATTGCAGGGCACACAATTAGTCAAACAGAAACGACCAAAACATAAAAAATTTTTTTTCCTGGAGGCTATTATGAAGGCTAAACAAGTTGAAATCTGTTTTTCAGTTTTTCTCCATCAATTTGCTGGGATACTCTGTCATTTGGTGAAGCATTAAGCCCAACCCAGAAAGTTTTGTCCCTTAAGATTTTTTTGATTCCAACAGAAATCTTGAAATCATTAAAATCTGTAACAAATGTGTGCAAATTATGTGAAATGAATAAACAAATTCTAAAATAAAATTAGCCTTTAACAGAAAAAAAAAAAGTTGACACTGAAGAAGAGTTTGAAGCTTTCAATCAAAATAAGAACTAGGTGAGGCTGCATTACAACCAGTAGATGAAAGCTATACCTTTCAAGGTTGAGTGCAACACATCAGACGTTGCTATTTCTGCCATCCTCAACTAAGGTGGACACCCCATAACATTCATATCAAAAACACTGCAGGGAAGCAAATTAAAATATCACATAGAGAAGGAGGCGACAACAATTATTGAGGCAGTTTACAGGTGGAATCGTTATCTATCATGACAACATTTCACCTTAGTTACTGACCAAAGATTGGTGGCCTTCATGTTTAACAATAAAAGCTGTACCAAAATTTAAAATGCCAAGATTCAGGAGTGGTGGTTAGAACTTGCAGCATTTGACTACACAATAAAACAGTGTCCTGGCAAGGAGAATGTGGTTCCTGACACATTTAGGCGAGCTTACGCTTGTTCAGCCCTCACCAACATTCAGAAAGAATTATAACACCCAGGAATTACCTTGATTCCTGCATTTTGTTAGAGCAAAAAAAAAAAAATCTCCCTTTTGCTACAGAGGAAGTAAAAAAAAATGTGTGAGCTTCTTGCAGAGTCTGTGCAAAAATGAAACCTCTTTTCTATCATGGTTTCCATTCATTTTCCCATGTTCAAACATGCATACAACATCAATAATTAAATCCCTAGATCTATTGTTCAACTTAACCAGGATACCCGGTTACATATACTCAGATAGAGGAACTGAGAAACTATCTCTTCCAAAAAGGGGTCACAACAAGTAAAACCATTCCATACCACCCAGCCGAGAATACACATGTTGAACGATTTGATGGCATTAAATGGAAGGTGATTTGTCTAGCTGTTTAGCTAAATAAAGCTTATTACTTTTACTACAAAAGTTTTGTTTTTACAAATGCAACCATGATGATTTTGAAAAACAGATTTCTGCAATACAGACTAAGCTAAAAAAAAAAAAAAAAAAAAAAACACAGTATTTTAAAAATGTATCAGAAATTTTGATTGTATTGTATGCTGGTGTGGAAATAGCACTAAGCACTAGTTAGTTTATAACATACAGGGACCTACATTTCACAGTGTCTTGAAAATGTATATCTATGTCAACAGCAGCTAATTTAAGTTTCATAAGTTTTATAAAGTACATGCACATGGTCAAGTAAGTTTTAAAAACCATCTTTAATTCAATGCAACATCTTTTCTTTATCACATATACAATCTATTTGGCTGTTACAAATGTGTTAAGTAATGAATAAAAGGTGCCTGTATTTTGCATATCCTCTTGCGCAGATATTTGAGTTATATTTCTGGTATTAGTTTGCACATTCATTTTTAATTTCAAGTGTTATGACAAATTATATCTATAGATGTTAGTTCCTTTCCACCAATTTAAATATTATTATATTAAAATATAATAAGTACTATTATCTTTTATTTTCACAAATTGTTGATAAATATGAAATTTTTTTTTTTAAACATTAAAGCATTTTACTTTAACATAATGAAATGTGATAAGTATAACAAAAGAGAAAGTAAATTTTTCCATGGTTAAATAATTTTGTGGCAAGATTCATATTATTCTAATAAAAATTTTATGGGAATAAAGATTTGAGATTGAAAAATTTAATTTACATAGGTACCTCCACGAAATCGCTAAAAAAGAGCATAGCTTGATGAAAAAGACGCCAACCTTGCCGAAAAACAAAATTTTATTGTCTAAATGCTTATGTTATTATTAAGAGGAAAGACCAAAGTTTTTTTAATTATTTTAAAAATTTTCCTTCTTTTAGAAAATTCTAAATTTTGATTAAAAAAACCTTGTTTCTATTTGTATCAGCGGAACTAGTAAATAACATAGACAATTTTAGCACGTTTTTTTTTTTTTTTTTTGGTATGACACACATTAATTTGAAAAAAATCGTGCAAAAATAGAAATAATTATCGGATGTTAATGAAACTTTCAGGAACTATTCACAGATGATCGAAATTATTATACATATGTTGTTTTTTTTAAAGTCATGGTAGAAATATTTTTTAAAAATATGTATTACCCCCCCTAACTAATTTTATGAAAACGCTAGAAATTCGATCGCATCGGGTTTAGTGATTACAATAATTAAAAGCACAGGGCTTTGAGGAATGCAAATCATGTTTTTTTTTTGTTTTTAATTGGATCCGCAGTACCTGAAAATCAGCTCTGAATTGTAACATACAAAACTCAATAAAACAAAGATATTATTTAATTTCAAATGCTTTTATTTGCTTTTAGTTGTTTTTATGAATATGGACAATATTTTCTGAAGCAAAAAATTTTTTTTCGATGAAAAATGAATTTTTAATACAATTATTTGTTATTTCATTAATTATAATAGATTTTACATTTAAGTTGTTAAAATATTATAAAATTAGTTAAAAGCCACAGGCTTTCATAAGTGTCCTTATGAGATAGATTTTTTTTTTAGCGCGTTGTAAATTGTATCATTTTGACTAATCAGAAGATCCCCAGTAATTAAGAAATGTAATTTTGTGTTTATAATCGAGCTGTAATTATAAAATACGGAAGACCAACCAGAATATAATTAAGTTGCGTTATTTGAGTTAAGCATTGTTCTCCGCTGTTAAGGCCTTTACTTTTTGCGAAACACGTGTGGAGAAGTTAATTTGATTTTTCAATTTCAACTGAGAAGGTTACCTACAAGTATCAGTATCATCTTATGAAATTTATATGATCTTATTTTTATATTAATCTCAGTTACGACATTTTTCCATAAATGAAATATCAAAATTAATAATAAAATGAATGCAAATACAAATAACAGTAGAATGTAATAAATGTACATAAAATTATAGTATTTTATGTACAATTCTGATAAAATTTCATAGAAAAGGTACCTATAAATTAATTAGATACCTTTCTTAAGAAATATGAAATTTAATGTCACTCTTAACAGTTTTATTTTAATTTATTTAGAATATATTTCCCATAAACCATCATAAACGTAAAGGTGAAAGCTAAGTACAAAAAAAAAAAAAAAAATTAGACCGCTGAAAGTTTTTCCTTAAAAATAACGGGGTAAATAATTTGTTCACGTAAATGTAAATTATTTCACTTTTCTCCTTCCGTAGAACAAATTAGCCTCATGGAATCCGTCAAAATATATCATTCATCACATGTCAAGAGACGCGAAAGTTTATGACCTGCTTTGTTTTATTTTCAAATTACATCTTTTTGGCACAAAAGCTAAGTTAAGTTTGGTTCAAAATATTTTAAATAAACATTATAATTTCTGATTTTCTTAAAATAAGTTTTGAAAAAAATGATAATTGATATTTTAAAAAATTTCAAAGTCAGATTTCCAGTTTTTTTTTTAAAATGAAAAAAAAAAATGGTCAATTTTGCTGACTCAAAAAAAAAAAACTTTTTTAACGAAAATTTCGGACGTGCTAGGAACGATTAAAAATGGAAAAAAAAATACCCCCAAAATACTTTGACCTTTCCTCTTAATGAATAACAAACATTTAGACGATAAAATTTTGTTTTCGTCAAGTTTGGCGTCTTTTTCATCATGCTATGCTCTTTTTTAGCGATCTCGTGGAGGTACCTAAATTTACAGGAAGTTTGAAGATTTTACAAACTATTAGAAGCAACAATAAAATCAAGAAACTAGACAATAAAAAAATTAAAATTCTTAAGATTAAAATTAGTCTGAAAGTTATAGTATTAGGTTTTAATTAACTTAATACTATCAAATGTTAGGGGTTTTATTTTTAAACCATCTCAAAAAAAAAAAAAAAAAAAAAATTATATATATATACATATATATATATATAAAAATCATCAACAGATCTGTGGGTAGTGAGATAAATTATCATAGAGAGACAAAGGAGTTCTGTAGGAAGGTAAAAGTACTGAAAGTGCTGCACATGACATTGCCTTGAACAAATGTATTAATAGACCCATGACCACAAAAAAACAAAACACGTTCAAAAGAAAATAGGGTGGTAGAAATTACAAAGTAAAATTTATTTTTAGCTTTGGCTAATAATAAATTACTTAATTCATGACAGCCAGACTGAATTCAGATTAATTGATCTCTGGTATAAAACAATAGAAACTGTATGTTTAGATGGACTGAGTAAAGGCCAAATAGACAGTTTGACTGACAGAAGATGGTTATGTTTACCCATTGAATGAAGTCAATCAGCTTTAGGAACAGTGACAGATACATTTAAATAAATACGTGAAGAAATAATATTAAGTGAACTACTTTGAATACTTACTTCTGCGTGTGTTAATGGGTCCACCACGCATAGCCAGCACCAGTTTGAGAGTGGCCCCATCATGAATCTTATAGTCATCCAAGTTGTAATCATCTTCCAACTCCACAGATTGCCAGATCAGGTGCTGCTGTGACACAGGAATGCCTAAAGACAATAAAAAGACAATCATTAAATATTGATGCCATTGATAAGCATTACCTCTGGTCAGTCTCTTGCTAAATAGCTGCACATATTGTGTTCCAGATGAGAATGCAGAGTTTTTATTATTCTTAGTGATAAATCAAGTTTATCTTTCTTTCTCCATATAAAGACAACATTTTTTTAAAAAGTACAAGATACAACTGACAGAGAGAAAATTCCAGTTGATTGGGATGGAAAGACTTGCAACAAAAATCAGAAAGGCTGTAAAAGGAACAAAAACTTTAATAAATATAGGATTTCCTTACAAATATCTGCTTATATTATGAGGTAGTTGTGAACATGGTACCCAGAGATCTAATAATGATTTTGGAAATCAGATGAGGTAATTTCTATTCAGTTTCATTGCTGGGAAAGAAAGAGAAAGGAGGTCAAAGACAAGAGAAAGGAGGTCAAAGACAAGAGAAAGGAGGTCAAAGACAAGAGAAAGGAGGTCAAAGACAAGAGAAAGGATCAATAAAAGAGAAAGGGAGGTTCAAAGACAAGAGAAAATGAAAACTTGAAGATATTTTAGGTTTTTTTACAGATTTTGTTACTTAATGTAATTGCTATTTTTTTTTTTATTTTTTTTTACAACAAAATAAAGTGCAATTTTCTATTCTTGTCTTGAACAAAAGTATGTATTGGATTTTTCTGTGGAAAGTTTTTCAAAGCAATTATTAAACATTACTGGTTCAGGAGATGTATAAATAATACAAGTAAAGCAGGTGGGCATTATTTACAACTCCTTTTTATTACAACCATTTGTAAATACAAGGGTCATTTATGATTTATACATTGGGTATGTGTCCCTATTTTGGAAATGCCATTTCTATTCAGAACATCTACAATCATTGCTATGCATTCTTGAGATAAGTAATTCAAAATCAGAAATCCAAAAATTGGAATTTATTTTTTTTTTTCTTAGACTGATTGATATCCAAGGCTAAAGAGCCCAGTCTACACTGCTATTTAAACTATAGTAGAGGCAGAGAACAGATGGATTCATGGTGTTGTGGAGATGAACATACCATACCAGAAGAGGACTTGCACTCATTCAAATCCAAATAGAATGATGCTGAGAATCGTTAGTAGAAGGAGTAAACAAGCAACACACTACTTCTTGATTGTATTATCTTCATTCAATGCAATGAAGACATAACATGTGCCTTTTCCCAAAGGCATTTGTGGAAAAATAAATGCAACAGACTAGACCAGAATTTGAACTCTGCTCAATGATTTCTCTTTTAACAACAATAACTGCTGGACTCACCACACATCCCTATATAAAGTGGATTCTGGTAAAATTAACTTTCAACAATAAGGAATAGATGCTTAGTTTAACCAATTGTGCAAGAACAAAATTAAACATATTTTGTCCTTTTTACACAAATCTATTTAAATGGAATAAATTGCTGAAGTCTTCCGTATTTAGAACATACTTATCTGTGTATGTGTGACTGGTTTTGTTTTCCTAAGGTGACAAAATTGTCTGTTTAATTGCAAAGTTATCAAAACAAGTATTTAAAAAGTTAATTATTTGGCATTTTAAAATATTCCATGCCAAAGAGAAACTGACCAGTTGGCAAATTCAGATGACACTTTCTTTTTAGTAGAAAATACAAGATTGATAAAAACACACACACACACACACACACACAAAGGATAAGGTGGAAATGAATTACCCACAGCTGAGATATATCTCCCATGAATACAAGCGTATGTGCACACACTCTTCATGAATATGGGGACATGTTGAAACATGTTCTAGAAATGAAATGTGTCAACAATATGTAGAACAACCCATCGAGTGAAACACAATTTCAAAACACAAAATGTTTCTGTTTGTAACAAGGAGAATGAGAACTGACAATGAAGAGAATAAAAATTCTTTTGGCAATTCAGTACTTTGGAGTGCTGAAAAATTCACAGCCTTTTACTTAGACAAGATTATAAAGAAAAGAAATTCTGATATTTGCTTATTTGGTCTGATTTTAGGAAGTGGGTTGGGCCAGAAACTTTGAACACTTCCTTGTATGTGTTAACGAGCATCACTATCATGGCAGCTAAGATGCAATCCAAATCAATGAGAAAATATGCATACATATATATTTATATCAGAAACTGAAACTATTGAAGCTGAGTAGATCCCATTTTTGGGATTTATTTCCCCTTTTTCAAAAGAGGTCAGCCTTTATTTCATGTACATAAAATACAGTTTTATTTAGGAAACAATAAAGTTTTATATTTATATAATCTTACTAAAAGAAAATCAGGAATATGTGAATGTATAAAAGATTATGAGTTGCTTCCCTTTGTATGAAAGTTTTAGGAGAGCTCCAAAATATATGTGTGTGTGTGTGTGTTAAATATAACAGATAAAGAATGTCTATTATGCTTGATCATGAGCTGTTCTAAGCTTCATATAGTGGCTTTGCTTTATATATTTTTGGGGGGTGGGAGGGGACTGTTGACAAAGAGGTAAATCTTTTTGTGAGCTGTGTTTTTGTCCTTCACCAGACTAAAATGAATTTTATGTTGATGCAGCTACACATATGCATGAAAGAGAGGGCCCGCTGAGAATTTTAATTTAAAATTTTTTTCTAGATCATCCACAGTAATTTTACTTCCAGGTTCTTACATTTCACCTTTCTTGGCAGATCTATTATCTCAATGTTGGATATTTAATAACAAAAGTAATAAAAAGAAAATGAAACAAAATTTGGTAGATTATATACCCAAAACTAGGTACCACCACACTGATTTAGTTTTTAAAAAAAAAAAAAAAGAAAAAAATGCCCCAAACTTAAAAAACAAATTTTTATCATAGAAATCTTTGTTGTTATTATTAAGAGGAAAGACCAGTAAAGTTTTTGATTAATTTTTTTTTTTTTTAATCTATTTTAGAACATTTGATATTTTAGTTAATAATCTAGTTTTTCTTGTGTTTGGGGTGGGGGGGATGAAGATTAATATAGGAAATTTAGTGTTTTTTTTTTTTTTTGCAGTGAAAAACATTTATTTGGAAATTCTCGAGAAAAAAAAAAAAAATAAATAAAAAAAAATCAAATAATTGTTGGATTTTAATTAAACTTTCAGGGCTTATTCACAAATGAAATAAATTTTTTTTTTTTACATCTATTACCCTCCACAAAATTAAATTATTAGCTGATGAAAATGTTAAGAGCAAAAAAAAAATCAACTATTCTAACATCATCTTCAGATGTTCACAGAGTCATTCAGTTCACATTTAACATTCTTAATTCCGATTGCTCTTATTAAATGCTTTCACAACACATATGTATTGATTGCAAAATAAGAAAACCAAAATAAAGAAAGAAGGAATGGAAAGACAATCTATGTTAGAAGGGAAGATAGACTGATATAATGATATACTAAATAGTGGGGTCAGTGGAGGAACCCATTATGATATTGTTAAAAGAGGGGAAACATTACGTTTGCTAAACATAAAATTATCAATAGAAGAAAGTTGGGAGATGTTCAGTTCAGAGGAATTACATTTATGAATGCAAACAATATTTTCTTGTTGAAATTAATTTTTTTTTTTATCATCTTACCAAGATCCAAATACAAGTTCATTAGTGACAAAGAGAAACTGAAAAACAAGACATAGTCTAAACTAAATACACCAAATTGGTCATGTGTGAAACTTTCTGCTTTAAATTGAATGAAAACAAATTCTAAATGGTCCTTGAAGAGAGATTCAAAAGTCCTAAGTTGGACTTTATTACAAACTAGCTTAAAAGATGCACTCTAGGCAAAGACTATGTCTGGTCCAGCTTAGAAAACAATGATAATTTTGAAGAAATAACTCTGAGGTTATAAGTTCAATTCCAACCAAAAAATGATTTCATCTGAAAGTCCGATTAGGGTTGAAATTCCAGTTCAGGCCAAAAATTGAATCCTTCAAATCACAAACTTGATGGAACTTCAATTGAGTTGTGTTCTTCAAAATCTCACATCATGAAACTTCCCACTTTAACTCTGATTCCTTGGAATGTTGAAGAAACAATTTTTATTTTCACAATTCAAAATTTTTTTTAGAGATATTGTAAACTGAATTTAAAACAAAAAAATTTTCAAATTCAAAATTTTTGTTACTTTAAACTCAATATAAATTAAAAACTTTTAAAATCACTAATTTTTTTTCAGTTATTTTAAAATTTGATTTTTTAACCATTCCCTCATCTGGACACCATACTGAATGTTCAAGCACCAGATGAAGGACAAATTTTCAATCTCATGATCATCCTAATTACAAAAAGTATAATATGTCTATGTAGAGCAAGTGTGGTGCGAGTTGGGGGTGGGGAATCGGACAGACAGATGAAATTTGATGTTTATTTAAGATTTAAATTAAACTTTAATTTATACTTTATATTTATTTCAAAGAAAGTGTTCAGAAGGATATGACTGATAATTTTTTTTATTTTTAAAAAACACATGATTTTCTAAGTGCAAAGGTTAAATCCAGACAGAACATTGACAATTATTCTGATTGGGAAACCAAGCAATGATGATGACGAAATCAATGTAAACTATCGACAGACATTGAAATGGCAGATCAATATCTGATATATCAAAGATATCATGGAAAACTTCAATAACATTCAAGCTTTTTGCTTTTTCTCTTTATAATTGTGCATATATGTAAGAACACGTAAACTCCCCATTTATGTAACCTAAGATATCACAGGCAGGATTTATTAATCAAAATTTTCATTCACTCTAATGTAACACAGTGTTACAGTAAATTCTAGCAAGAGAAAGAAACAAAACTAAAACCACACACTCATACTGTATCCAAATCAATAGTGACTTGGTTCATTTCTTGGATTGTATATATGAGAAGGATTCTGAAAGGTACTGACCAAGTGTGTAGGAGTTGAAAATATTTATTAAATCCAAAAGAATCATAATTAAATAAGGAACAAGTGGAAGGATCT